TCTCTCTCTCGCTTGCTTCAGCTATTTGCGAGATTACTTCATTTCGTAACGCGCACTCCAGTTTCATGCAGAGCAGTTCGTTGTTGAATGCAAAACATGAACTCATTTAGTAATAACATAACAGAAAGCTTCGAAATTTCTCACAGAATTTTTTTGAATTGTCGTTCAGTGTGACCTTAACGATTGGCTATAATTAGTAGATAGTTAGACACTCCATAACAAAAAGGACTAATGGTTCTGGAATCATTCAACAATAATTCAAACTTTCTTAGTAATTTAATGGAATTTACCTTTTTTGTGAATAATTGCCTAGAAAAAAGGTATCTACTGGCGAACAGGGCCTATACTTTCAAAAAAACTTAAAAGGTCGTAAGTTCATTAGCCAATCATTGGCGGCCTTTCAAGCAAAATCCACCAATCATAGACAAGAAAATAGAGCGTAAGTACTTACGTTCACTTAGCGAATTTTGAAAGTATGGCCCCCGGTCTAAATTTCACATTTAAAAACGTCGATAAAAACCTTGATTACAATATCAAACTGCTTAACCTAGTCATATCTAGATCCGCACATGGACCAATCTGCATTGAATTCAAATACTTATCAATACTTGTGATTGAGGCATTGATACTCGGATATTACTTCCCTTGCTTTCATCACTCCCGCGATAATGACATACGGTTCCTCCGTTAATGTTTTATGCATTGGCACCTCTTGAATGCGCTTTAAAAGCCCTTGAATTGCTCATTGGAATATAGATAAAGGAAGTTGGCCTGAAAAATGGGCCGTGGGTCGGGAGCAGTTATGGGTGCTTCTGAATTATCCGGCTGTCATTGTGAGTATTCAGAAGCACAGTCAGGATTCATAGAGACGTTGATCCTTTGACTGTCCAATCGGAAGACAACTCACTTTTTGATTTGGCAAACAAAGAACAATTATGTGTAAGCTGCTAATAACAACTGAAATGAAATTTCGTGAGGATCAGAATATCGAAATATTGGATTGGAATAGAAGTGGGTTTTATGACATGTCAACTGAAGACGTGAGATAAAAACTACAATCTCACGTCTACGAGCTAATGTGATTAATTACGTAAGGTTAGTAAAAAGCTATGAGGTATATAAACGAGTATAATTGCCACTTATCTCAATAGATAACAAACGCGTGTAAGACTCACACGCTTGTGCTCCAGATTTGATGTGGACGCGAGGGAGGCATGATGGCGCTTACATTCCTGCTGAAGACCGTCGCCATATATTAACATTTGGCTACCCTACGCAGCTTCCCTGTGAGGCCGATCTCCAAGATCAATATTAACGCTGCGCGATAATTTGCGATGCGAAAGAACAATCGCCGAGACAAGCGCTCGAATCGCGGGAGGGCCTCCGCCGGCCATGACAGTATTTCGTGTGTTTTATATCACGCATAAAAATTATTTTTTTTTCATTCAACTTTACCTTCAAGAACTAAGAGAAGGCGAATTTTGAAGCATTTTAATGACTTATGTTTCCGAACTGATGATGAAAATGCAGTGTGCGAATATTCATTTATTAATATTATTTTGTTATTTATTTTTATTCATTTATTATTTATTCATTCTGCATTGAGAATGAATAAATTCTTTTTTCATAAATTGGCAATATTTGTATTACTACCGCGATACAAATGAAATACGACTTAATTAAATTTTCAAAAAACTTTCGCGTTATGTAAATCACGACATTTATATGAATTTTCAGACACAAACGGCAGTGACTTTGCCACAAACAGTCAGAAGTAAAAGCTGACAGTGGAGAAGAAGACAAGGCAAACAGTCATAAAGATGAACACAGGAAGTAAGCATGACAGCGTTTGGCAGAAAGGAAAGTCTGACACATGTGCCTGACAAGGGGGGTTTTCTCCCACGTTATTTATTCTCTGCGAAAATTCCGTGAGTCACAACAATTTTCACTCAAGTAATTACATTGACCTTTGAAGTCAATATTTCAAATTACGTCTTACTATGAGAAATTACTGAAAATAAAATGTCTCACGGTTGATTGCAGCAAACTTTCCACGTACGGGATATTGGCCTGCAATGCTACAACGCTAATGGAATACGCAAATTAGGATAGAACCAAAATAGTCAGACTACAACAAGGTATTTACATCAAAGTACTTACATCAAGGATTTTGAAGCATTTGAAGGTACAAGGTAGGAAGGTTCAAGGTATTTGAAGCTAATAATAATCCAAACCAACTTTTTTTGCGGTTCCACGCTGTCTTTCTTATTAATTTCAAGTTGTAAACGCATAAGTAAAATAGGAAAAGGCTGTGCTTGATGGCATTGAAATAAAGTGCAAGCTGACGAAAAAGATTATTAACGTTTAATTTTTGCAGTGACGAAAATAAGTAAAATAAATTATAAAATTCTTTAACCCAAATAGACAGTACTATATACTTTGAAAGGGCAATATTAAATTTATTTTGATATTGCTGTGGTCATAACTGGTGTGGTCCTGTGTGTGGAAGCTGTGGTCCTTACTGTCGATCAAATGCAAGTAATTTTGAAATACTCGACAAAAAATGTGAAATAGTCCAATAATTGTTTTTTATTCTATCGGCTTTCTCATGCACGTAGGATAATTCTACGTATATGTGCAAGGAATGTACAGATGGTCTAAAATTTGTCTATTATTCTATTAGATTTCTCATGCACGTACGATAATTCTACGTATATGTGCAAGGAATGTACAGATGGTCTAAAATTTGTCTATTATTACATTAGATTTCTCATGCACGTACAATAATTCTACGTATAAGTGTAAGGAATGTACAGAGCCTGCGTCAAGAGAGAGAGGGCTTGGTGCAGCGGATGCGGTTCGTGAGCCCGCCATTGGCTGGGGAGGGGGAACCGTTAACATTCAGTGGGTGCACACATAAAAATGAGCGAGATTTACTCCAAAAGTGATGCACCCTTCATCTTGTGTGGGTCGCCCTGACCCAGTTAGTCCCAGACATAAAGGCGTATCAGTGCTACGCGCGAAAAATGTGCCACTATTTGGACAACTTGACCCTTTAATTTTTCTCAGTGTGGCAGGCCAAAAGGGAGCCAGATGTGTGGAACTGCGGCGCTAGGGAATACCACTCACTCTCTGGAGCTCAGCTAGAAATTTGTTCAGAGTGCAGTGGGGAAAATATTCAATTTGCAGTTGGTAGCCCTGAGATAGGAACTGCTGCTGGTATGTAGTTATTGGTATATTGCCAGTAACTGACTTATATTTTACTATAATAATAAAAATATTTTAAAAATTACATATTCGTTACATCAGTTATGTAGATTTTTGCGCGTATCATTTTTCATTCATCCATTCACTTTTTTCACCGAATATACGTCGTAATACTGAAAGATTTGAAATAGACTAGTAATTCGATTGGTTAAATCAGGACGCTTTCTTTCAAATCGATCCTTTTCCAGAGAAAATTAAAATCACTACAGAATGACATTAGACGAAATCTGTTTCTTGAAGACACAGCTGTAAGAAAGAAAATTTAATTTCATGCTGAGAGTCTTCACAAACTAGAAGTCCGTTCAGAAGTAGCTCGTCCTACGCGAGGGGTTTGCAGCTGAGAAGAAACGGAACGGTTGTAACAGATGTTAAAGAAATATTACTACACTAGCGACATAAACTGCACAACACTTGTGAGTGAAACAGTCCAACAAACTTTTGTTCGTAGAGTGCTACCGTCTCTCTCTCTCTTTCTCTTGTCTGACCTTTGAATAAAACAAGACAATTGTGTCTCAATGAAATATTGATGGTGGCTACATGAATAAATCTCCAGAACTCCGAAGTGCGTAACAACGCTACAGAAGGAGGCCAGTGGAGGCTTGTCAGAGCGCTGTCACGAGGGTAGCAGGGCGATCCCCCTTTAATATTTATGAGGGTCGACCCTCAACACTCCCTGTCTTCCTCATCAGACCCCAGCGACTGAATCTCATCTTGCCGGCTCCCAAAAATTTGTTTTTCGCACATGCGGACGCTTTTCGGAGGCGCGTGTATTACGAGTTATGCAATAATATTAGGAGTTCACAGCTACAAAGTAGCACTGAATTTGAATTATTTGCAGTAAGAAAAAGGCGATAAAATTTCTGGTTATGGTGTGGTTCAAAATATTTTTTGTAGGTGCGCGAATTTCCTCACTGGGATTCAGAAGATGCCTAATTTTTTCTTGTTGAAATTTGTTCATGTAAATTAACATATATCTTGCAAAAATGAAGAATGGAAAATATATAGACATTCGCACGTCTAATATCTTCAGAGAGTTTGTAGTTCTTTGCAGCGGCATGCAGATAGTTTCGGAACGTAATCTGAATGATCGCGACAAAATTAATCATTGCTTACAAACCAAGATATACTTGATGATTATTATGGTGACGTGCTAGAACAGCCAACGCGATAGGAGCTTCTTCAACGTTAAATCATCGTCGCTGTCCAGCTCGAATAGAGTAGCGGTCTAAAAACACCGTTTGCCGAACCGACTTGCTACAATGTGCAATTGAAGTGTAAGAATCGTTGTGAGGAGTCAGGTCGTATATCAGTATTTTTTGCTCGCTCTTTGCAAGGAATAAATCAGTGGCAGAGAAGCGTCCTGAATGGAGATGTGTGAGATTTTTAATTCGCTCTTGATCTGCCCAGCACTTATAACTGATTCAGCGACCAGAGAAATAATTGAATTCCATTCATATTATCGACTAGATTAAGCAAGTAATATACATTTCCCGAGCTCCAAATTAGTTTAGAAACTGTAATAATTTTATTTCTGAAGACTTATTTTATTTTTCATTCTTTCTGGCTGAATTTTCAATATATAAAATTCAGTGCTTCTAGAAAACAAAGGATTTCATTTTTACATTTTAGTAGACACTAAAGAAAATATTAAAAATAAATAATAATAATAATAAACAGTAAATTAAACATCGTGTCCACATACATACCGACATAAAAGCACTTTCACCAGCTGTAGTAACTCTCGACAACGTACCTGCAGGGAAAAATATAAAAAATCATATTTCTATGAATGTTTTTCGAGGAGTATTTTGTGCAATAATGATTTTATTTGTAGTGGAGTAAGCATTCTTCCAAAATATATCATAAAATATAATTTCTCTGCCCCAAAGTGTAAAAAAATTGATGCAGTGTTACGTCACATTTTTTCTCCACTAAATGCAAAACTGATTTCAAATTTATACTATTAGACGAGTTAGAAAAGGTTCAACGGGAATTCAATGGCTTAAAAAACCCTTCCATCGAAGCCATTTTTCTTACTAATGTCTAAGACCACCATCACTCTTACCGGCATGGCAATTAAGAAGATATTTCAAAGAGGTAGTATTAGGAGGGATAGAAGTGTAGTCGCTGCGTTAATGTACTGATTGAATTTGGAAGATAGATACCCACTGAACAAAATTTATTACATTTTAATGTAATACCCCAGAGGCAGCAGTAAGTTCTTGAAAAATGAGTTATAACAATTTTAAGATTTTTAGTTTTATAAGTAAGTTTAGTGAGTCCGAGAAAGTAAGTATGGAGATTTTACTAACTTTTAAATAAAATACAACATCAAATAATTGAGCAAACAAAATAATGACTGAGCATGCCATTTACTCATTGTATAAATTTTCAAAGTCGTCTGAATTAATGGTATCGTCATAAATATATTTCTTAGTCTAATTTTAGAAACTTCTACTGCAAGGAGAAATTAATGTAGACGAAATTATTTTCCGCACTAAATAAAAAATTAGACGATTGATTAGATTTTATAATCGTCACAAGAATAGATTCCATCTCAATGAACTTAAATAGGCGTAGAAAATTATAAAGCATATATCAAGGCACTTAATTCATTGGTAATGGACTGTTTGATTCTCATTACGAGAGACTTAATTCAATTTTTTTTAAATAAGACTTTTCTAATTAAGTCCAAATTTGAATAAATAGGAATTCGATATCATTTGATTCGTAAGAAAATCTGCTGAGGGCGTAGGCATTAACCAACTGCAATATCGATGGCGTAAAAACCTATGCAACTTGCAGTGTTTAGATCGCTGAAGAATGCACTCAAAAAAACAAGAGCAGAGCTCCGAACGAAGGCATCGTAAATCAGGTGACGAAAACGAGGGCTTCCAAACGGATAGGCGAAGAAAGCGTTTGACATGGACTGGGAGGGAACTGTACTCAGATCGATACTTTTTTAAGACAGGAAAAAATACTTCTCTGACTTGCTGTTTGATAAGAATAAGCTTAGAACGTCTTATTTGAATTCATCCAAGGTATGCAAGAAAGTTTGACTGATTTGCATATTTAATCATGCGGTTGCATTATAGATAGTACACAGGATGAATGTGAATTCGCGGGAAGAAAAAGACGCTATTTTAAATTAAGGGAACGTAAGTTCTATTTAACTTGATATCTATGATGAAAATGAGCGATTCACATGTACTCATATCAATAATTATTACTCAATAAGAATTTTGATTCGTCCTTTTTACTTTCAACTAGGTTCGCAAATAATAAATTCAGATCTTTTATTTTTAGAAAAGCGCGATTTTAAGTTCAAATTGACATTAATGCGCCTTAAACATGTTAATGCGTTTGTAGACAAGAAAAAAGAAAAATGATTCCCAATTTATTAAGGAAGGATTTCTAAAGTGTATCAAGAGAATGTGAAGGGATTTCTGAACATGTTAATGCGTTTGTAGACAAGAAAAAAGAAGAATTATTCCCAATTTATTAAGGAAGGGTTTCTAAAGTTTATCAAGAGAATGTGAAGGGATTTCTGAAGCGCTGCTATCGAAGAGGTCACCTAGACTGGGATTGCGAAATCTGAGCCGGGGAGCGTAGTGCGGAAGGCAGGGGACGGAGCCCCCCACAAGTCGCCTCCTACCGAGAGTAATAAATCAAAAGCCCATTCCAGAGCGCCGTAGGAATCCCAAAAAGTCAGAAAATGTATACAGGAGACGGGGGATAGTTGAAAAGAACCAACATTTTTTCTCTTCGTGTGAGTTTTTGCGGAGTTGAATGAGAGTGCCCAGCCAGGAATGGCTTCCAAGAAATATTCATGAACTATCGAAAGAAAATCTCAAGTCTGTGAAAAATTGAGTTTGTCTTTTTGATTATAAAATAAGTTCAACGGTGGCTATGAGCAGAAAATCGAGTTTCTCAGAACTAAAAATTTTTCACAAGGTCAATATTTGCTGAGGCTTTTCACATTCATTCAAATTGCATCGAATAAACAAAAACTTACACAAAGTATTCAAGTATTACCAGTTTCAAGCTCCCCCTTAAACAGGGTTTACAGATTTATGTCAACCACAGCAGCGTAAGAAAAATGTGATATGCGTCAATGAACAATAACATTAGAAATTATGGAATTTCAATGAATAGCTCGGGTACTCAAATTCCATTACGATTTTCGTCGTTTTAAGAGCATCTTACATGACTGATGTCTGCACACTTCCATTATTGTCATCATAGTAATAAATTGAGGGAAGCAAGACTGAAACCGAGGCAGATTTACGAGCGGCGCGTCGAGATCTTCCATAACACAGACATCGATGGCTCTCGAGACGCTCAGAGGCGAGCTCTAGTGCTCTTTCTCACCTCATCATCAGGTCCCATGAAATAAATTTATTAAATTATGCAAATAACAGTGGGTGTTTCTATGGAGGAATTTAATCCCTAATACATTTCATGCGTATAATACCTGGAAATAATTTCTCTGAAATAATGATACAGTTAATAGCTACTAAAATATTATACCCTATAATAATTTTTTCGTTTAGCATGCATTCATCATGGAATGAAAATTAATCGCATGTAGTGCTTCGCCGCATGGCGAAATATATATCACAATTAAAATAAGTTCAAGAAATAAGATGCGTATAGGTCGTTGGGCCAGGGCATCAATTTTATTTTCATTGTTTTTTTAGCTAATCCTTGATATTATCCAAGATGTCACTGCCATCAGCTCTTGACGCGGATAGAATTTTCAAATATGCAGTTAGGCAAGATTTTTTCCCCCACAAGAGTTGAGGGAATCCATGATTCAAATATTCAGAATTCCCAGACAGCGTGTAGACAGACCTAATGAATTTATTCCCTTGGTGCAGTAAGAAGGAATCCAATCAGAGCGACCAAATGAGAGACTCTGAAAGAGATAAAAGCAGTAAAAAATACCGGGAACTTGGATTGGCTGCTGATTAAATTTTATCGAGGTGTGGGGGGTGCACAGCTCAAAAAAATTCTGGAATTTTTACTCAAGAAAACATGGATGGGGGAGCTATCGTATGACCGACTCTTTTACGATTAGTAGGAACGAGTCATCTTGACAGATACTTAGTCACCATCAGTACAGTACATGCATTATGACTTTATCAACTGAAATTTTCACTTATATATTTTCATCAACAGTTGCCACAATTTTTTAAGCGACAGATGTTCTTTCGGTCACGCGTGCATTCCCGTCACGCACTGAGATCATCTTTCAGCAAACTGGATTTTCATCCTAACATTTCTAGTAGGCAATACAAAGCGAAGGAGTGCCGTCTATTGCTGTGAAGGCTCAATATACGGAGCACCAGTAACCGTATATTTTGCGACAGGTCGGATGCCATCAGTCACAGGCCTAGGGAAGAAATCCAAAAATCTCACCATCATTGGAAAAAGCCTTCGCTTACAGAATAAGAATTAGCGTGGGGTGCTAGGAACGAAAGAGAGGGAGTAACCCGACGCAGGATACACGCTCCAACAAAGAGGTATTCCATTGGGGTTCTCAAACCAACATGGCGCTTCTGAATACCTCAAGAATATTCAACGCCTATATATAGATATTTGAATTAGATATTCGATAGATATTAAAAAAACAATCCCATGAACTAACGAGAGGGAAATTAGTCGACTATGAATCGACGAGAGTTGATTCATAGCATTCTGTAAGAAAATAATTTTTTTAAGAGGATCACTACCTTTTAGTATTTCATATTGCTCACATATGCTGTTTCCTAAATTTGTCGAACACATACTATTGCGAACATTGATTATAAGCCCTAACCACATATACCAGTAGAACGCCAAATACTGATTTGAATGAGCCTAATACTCCCGTTGATTGCACTGACTTTATTATGATTGGTCTTTGCTAATCCCATAAATCCTCTAATTCCACAGCTTGCCGGGAATAATCCCAGGAAGGACCGGAGTGTCACATATATTCGTCGGAGCGTAATCCATCCATCGGAGACAAACTTTATTAGGTATTCGATGGAGCCTCGGAAGATGATTTAGCGTTGGGGTAACATTCCATTTGCTGAATGGTATAGGGAGTGCCGTGCAGTTATCTAGAAATGGCACCAACTCTGTAACGTTTGAGACGTGAACTGCTCCCAAATATTTTGTGAAGTATATGCATACTGACGCACGAGTGCATGGCATGTCAATGTATTACATTTACTATACGAGAGAGTTTCTGTGTAAATTAAAGCACATAAACGATAGTTTTCAAACGTGCTGAATACAATTAAATTATTATCTATCAGCAGCCATCCACAATGAAATAGACGCAAGTTCACAATTCATAGAACGCAAACACAAGAATTTCATTGATTCACGAAACAAGAATACTTTTAATGCAAAAACTTTTAGCAAGATACCAGTGGACTTGTATAATGGAGAATTGAATTTCGTTTTCTAGCTAATGACATTGCATAGGACGGCGAGTTACTCACATGATCTTCTATATAGAAGAGAAACTATTCGAACCCTTTTCACCGCGCTGCTGTGTCACCGTCACTTTCTTTACGTCTTCACGAGTCGCGATCTTTCTCATTTGCAGGGTACATAGCCTGACACGTTCAATCGATCACCCGGTGTCAACCATGCCCTCCCGGCCCCTTCCCAAAGGGCGTCGAAGATACTATTTCCGACACGCTTTGAAAAGGTAACCGCGGAAAGTTATTTGGAGATTTACCATTGAGTCACTTCATA